TCTCTCTCTCTCTCTCTCTCTCTCTCTCTCTCTCTGTTCGGGGGAGGGGGAGTGCGAAAGTGTTACTATCATCTCACAATAAACCATAATTAACAACACGTTGTTCTAACACACAATTTAAAAGAGTAGATTTCATTTTATTTACGATGACACAAAAACAAAAATCTCGATTTCAATTCAAATTGAATGACTAAGATCGATGCGAATATAGTATAACATGTACAGAACAGAAGTCCTTATAAAAAACATACATTTTCAAATCAAAATAAGAAAAGATCTATGAACTCGCAAACAGACAGGCAAGCAGGTATGATAGAATATGAGCAGAAATAAAGGGATATAAAAAATAGATGACAGAAAACAGCTGATTCGGTTCTGTAACATAGATATAATATTGTATCAAAAGAGGGCTGTACAGCACCATCGTTAAACAAAATATAACACAAACTGGGTTAAACAATTTATGACTTTGTTAGAAAAGAACTCGTGAAGGCATCTCGGACGTTATAATGTATAGTAAGTAAGTAAGTATGCAATTCAAGCATCATTGAAAGTCAAAAGCGAAGTGAATAATAAATTCACCTTTGCTCCTCTCTACATAAAATAAATGTTCGAATAAATAGCAACAATCTAACCACCAGATAACGATTCGGACAAGTAGCTTACTCCAGAAAAATAAAGATTCACATTTCAAAGTTTCGAAAAAGGTTTTTTAAATAAATGAATAAATGAATAAAGAAAGCAAAAAAGAAAGATAGAAAGAAGGAAGAATTTAAAAAACAATAGCAATTAGAGAATGGATATCAAAAGAAATGAAACAGCTAGATTTCTAAAGAAAAATAGAAAAAAAACCCAAAGCAAACACAATGTACATTGCATTCGAATCACTGGACAAAAAAGTTGCACAATCGAACGAGGACAAAAGACAGAGATTGTCAAAGATCAAGACATTACTTGGGACACATGCTACAGAGATTGTCAAAGATCAAGACATTACTTGGGACACATTATGTTATCAATAGTATGCGTTATAACAGCTCTCATGAAAAGGCATAAAGCTGTACATGTATTCTTGTCCTCATTCTGCAAGTAGAGATGAAATGTCAAAATCGGTTTGAATAAATGATTTTTTGAAAGAAAAGACCAACAATCGTGCAACATTAGTAAAGAAAAACGATTGACGATTAAGCAAAGCTTCGAAAAAAGTAACGAAAACGATCAACATGGCAAATCGTTGAAAAGTAACGAAAGAGAAAAGCAAAACAATCAAGCACATAATATTAGAACAAAAGTTATCGGGAGAAAATTAAAAAAATTAAAAAGCAAGGCAATGAAAAAATAAACACAATAAAAATTAACGAAAGAGCAAAGTTTCGAAAATGTAATTTAAAAAAAGACAATCGAGCAAGTAAGTAGAAAAAAATCGTCTATTCAGTAAAACAGAAATCTTTAAAAAGCTGTCGCATGGGTAACAAAAATTAAAGTATAATCAAATAATCGTTTGAATCATGACCTGACCAAAACAGGAGTGGTTGTTAAATAGTGATTTGAGCAAGAGACACTAAACACAAAACAAAAGCCAGATATTAATAGTAAAACAGATCAAGCAATAGTACGAATACGCCACGTGAAATGAATGACAATTTGACATGAATGGAAGAAAAGAATGGACGGGGAAGCGTGGGAAAAGAACAGTGTGAAACGAAGAGAGAACTCGTGAACAGATTAAGAGCTAAAGATGCAGTCATGGTCTCTCTCTCTCTCTCTCTCTCTCTCTCTCTCTCTCTCTCTCTCTCTCTCT